TTATCTTGAATTATCCAATTAAAAGTGGAATTGTGTGGCAAAAGAGTCAGAATCAGAGATGTGATGATAGAAGCAAGGTCACTGGAGTGATATGATGGAAGAAGGACTCAATCTACCATTGCTGGCTTTGAAGATGGAGGAAGGGGGCCATGGGCCAAGGAATGCTGGCTGCCTCAAGAAGCTAAAAAGAGCAAGGAAATACATTCTCTCCTAAAGACTCCAGAGAGGAACGCTGCCTTGCCAACACCTTGATTTTAGCCCAATGAGATCCATGTTCTACTTCTGACCTACAGAACTCTGAAATAATTAGTTTTGTCCTAAGACACTAAGTTTGTGGTAATTTATTATGATAGTAATAGGAAACAATTTCTATTGTTTATAAACTGAAGTCAAGTATCACTGCATTTCCTTCAAAAATTTAAAATATCTTATGGTTTCCCTGTGAGCTCATTAGGTATATCTAGGCACATAGTTTGGAACTGTGGCTCTACAACAGGGCTCAGCAACCTACAGCCTGTGGGCCCAATCTAGGTCACTGCCTGTTTTTGTCTATGAGTGCTTTCATGCTACAGCAGAATTGAGTAGTTGTGACAGAGACTATATGGTACAAAGCCTAAAATGTTTACCTCCTGGCCCTTCACAGGAAAAGTTTGTCAACGCATGCTCTAGAACAGTGGTTCTCAACCTTCCTAATGCTGCGACCCTTTAATACAGTTCCTCATGTTGTGGTGACCCACAATTTCATTGTTACAAATTGAACATAATTAAAGCATAGTGATTAATCACAAGAACAATATGTAATCATGTATGTTTTCCGATGGTCGTAGGTGACCCCTGTGAAAGGGTCGTTTCACCCCCAAAGGGGTCACGACCCACAGGTTGAGAACCGCTGCTCTAGGATATGGCCCTACTCTATCCATCTGACTTTATTTTCCTCACTCTAGTTACATCCCTCTACTCCTACTCCCCATATTTTTACCATTCTGAGTTCATGTCACTACCTTAGCTCATGCTATAATTTCCATCCCAGAATTCCCTTCCCCCCTTTTCTAAATCCTGTCCTTCAAGGAAAATCTTAAGTGATACCTTCTACCAAATCTGTTCTCTCAAGGAATTTTCCCTATACCATACCACTTAGGTTTTGATTGCCCAAATAGCCATTAAGTTAATCTCTAAATTGTTTCATGTATGTGACAATCTGCTATTACAAATAGACTATAAGCTCCTCAAAGACAGAAACCATATCTTGAATTTCTCTAGAAAATTCCACAAAGCCTATCCACTGTACCATGCAATGGTGAGGTGCTCAGTTAGTATGTGTTGATTACACTTCTTAAGCTGAAATTTACTCTAAAAATGTAAGTTTTATGAAAAAATGCTCAAAGTCACTGATCATCAGAGAGACGCAAATTAAAATGACAATGAGGTATCACCTCACACCTGTCAGCATGGCTACCATCAACAAATCAACAAAAGACAAGTGTTGGCGAGGATGTGGGAAAAAGGGAACCCTAATACACTGCTGGTAGGAATGCAGACTGGTGCAGCCATTATAGAAAACAGTATGGAGTTTCCTCAAAAAAAAAATTAAATATGGAACTTCCGTTTGACTAAGTAATCCTACTTCTAGGAATATATCCTAAGAAACCCAAAACACCAATCAGAAAGAAAGTATACAACCCTGTGTTTATAGCAGCACAATTTACAATAGCTAAGACTGGAAACATCCCAAGTGCCCATCAGTAGACAAGTGGATAAAAAAGCTGTGGTACATTTATACCATGGAATACTATGCAGCAGTAAAAAAGAATATCTTACCCTTTGAAACAGCGTGGAGGGACCTGGAAAGTATCATGCTAAGTGAAATAAGTCAGTTAGAGAAACAAGTATCACACGATCTCACTCATATGTAGAATCTAATGAACAAAATAAACTGACAAATGGAGTGGATCCAGAGACCTGGAAGTATGGAACAGAGTGTGGAATCTCAGAGGGAAGGCAGGGGAGGTTGGGTGGGTGAGAGGCAATCAACCAAAGAACTTGTATGCATATATGCATAACCCATAGACACAGAAAATAGGGTGGTAAAGGCCTGAGGCAGGGGGTGGGGGCAGGCCGGAAGAGATCAAAGTAAGGAAAAAAAGGGGAGATTTTTAAATCAACAATACAGATTTTTTTAAAATGTTGTAAGTTTGAGCCCTGATAGTTGCAGATGAAATCTGATAACTATTAAAACTGATATTACAGATGACTTATTTTGAAAACATTCCAGCAGTATGGTGGCTGTTATCATTTTATCATTTGCAGCTTTGATATCTATAATACTCTTAGCATGAGTTTGTGGTAGCAGACAACCTTCTTTAATGCCCCTCTCTAATTCGATTTTTTAAACTGAACACCTTTTCCTTTTATATAAAATAAATTGAGTAAAAAAGGAAAATGATGCCAGATTTGGAACAAGAGTTATGCAAATTTTTATCTTCAAAAGCTATATGTAGGGTAATATACTAGTTTTCTATTTTTAATGAAATGTGTAGCAGATTATTAAGCAACTTAAACCAGAATTCCTATATGTTTACCTAAATAAACCTACAGGTGATGGAATATATCTGGATCCCCTGCAATCACCTCAAACTCATCATACTGAAACTAAACATCACAAACTAAGGATCAAATACCTCTAAAATTTAAGGGGTAGATGAGGGTTTGGAAAATATAAGGAAGGTGGTAAATAATTTTTTATATTTAACATTTATATTTCACAAATCATAACTATTTGCTTAATTACCAGAAAGTTACTATTCCATTTACTCAAGAGAAACACAATGACTTGGCTCTGAAACTGCTATCAAACTGATGTCATTTCTAAACTTTCACTCTTTAGGGTCAAGTCCTAGTCAAAGATCTCCATGATGAGCTAGACTCATATATAAAAGGCCATTTTTCTTAAAACTAAGGGCAGGTTGCCCTGACCGGTTTGGCTCAGCGGATAGAGCGTCGGCCTGCGGACTCAAGGGTCCCAGGTTCGATTCCGGTCAAGGGCATGTACCTTGGTTGCGGGCACATCCCCAGTGGGCAGTGTGCAGGAGGCAGCTGATCGATGTTTCTCTCTCATCGATGTTTCTAACTCTCTATCCCTCTCTCTTCCTCTCTGTAAAAAATCAATAAAATATATTTTTAAAAAAACTGAGGGCAGGTAGCTACTATAACCACTGAGTAGCCCTAGTGACCAAGAACCAATTGCCCTAAAATTAATATGGGTAGCCATCCAAAAACTTGTCTCTGTCAGACACTAATCCTAAAATTCTTACGGTTCCAGATAAATTAAGGTACAACATTTATGTAATTTTTTTACAGTTTTGGTACACACACAAAAAACGAAATTTGGGGTATTACTTTTCCTGCATTCTAAAAAAAATATTTCTACTGAGACATCAAGAAAAATGAAAATGTCCTCATACCTTATTTCTTCATACTCCCAGAACACCAGCTGCACTTGAACAAGATAAACTAACAAACAAAATAGAAACAGACTCATAGATACAAAAAGCAGACTGACAGCTGTCAGAAGGGAAGGGGGTTGTGGGGCTGGGATTAAGCAAACAACAATAACAACAACAACAACAAAAACACCATAACACACACAACAGTATGGTGATTACCAGAGAGAAAAGGGAGGTGGGGAAGGTAGAAGAGGGCATGGAGGGGTTAAATGGTGTTGGAAGGAGACTTGACTTTGAGTGGTGAACACAAAATGCAATACATAGATGATGTACTATAGAATTGTACACCTGAAACCTATATAATTTTATTAACCAACTAGAGGCCGGGTGCATGAATTTGTTCATGGGTGGGGTCCCTCTGGGTGGCCTGTAGGGATTGAGCCAAAACCTGCAGTCCAACGTGGCCTGCAGCTCCTGCCTGCCACCCCTGCTCATCCCGGCCTTATTGAGTTCGTGCCAAATCAGTCCTGATCCATCAGGAGAGGCTCATGCTGCCACAGCAGTGCTCACCAGTCATGAGCCCTGTGTCTGGCGCCCACCCAAGGGGTGTGGCCTGCGGGATCAGGCTGAAACCGGCTCTCTGAAATCCCCCAAGAGGTCCTGAATTGCAAGAGGGTGCAGGCCAGGCTGACGGACCCCACTGGTGCATGATCGAACAGGGGAGGGACCGTGGGAGGGCTCCAGGGCATGTCTGGCCCATCTTGCTCAGTCTTGATCGGTCAGACCCCAGCAGCAAGCTAACCTACTTGTTGGAGCATCTCTTCCCTGGTGGTCAGTGCACATCATAGCAAGCGGTTGAGCAGCCTTAGCATATCATTAGCTTATGCTTTGATTGGTTGTTCAGTTGTTCTGCCATTCAGTATATTTGCATATCACCCTTTTATTATACAGGATGTCACTTCAATAAATTCAATAAAAAGGAAAAAAGCTGCTGCTAACATGTATGCTAGAATCAAAGAAGATGTGGTATTAATACAGATGATGTATTTAAAAAGATAATTCCAAGGCTCTTTATTTCACTGGAAGTATTTTACTAAATTACCTCTGTGCTCTTTACATAATGTTTAAAGGTAAGGTTTATCTCAACTGAGCTCCATATATCATGTATCAGTAAGCTTTAATTTAAAAGTCAAATCATTTTGCCATGGACTGTTTGGCGCAGTGGATAGAGCATTGGCCTGCAGACTGAAAGGTCCTGGGTTTGATTCAGATCAAGGGCATGTACCTCAGTTGCAGGCTTGATCCCCGGCCCTGGTCAGGGCACATCCAGAAGGCAACCGATCAATGTGTCTCTCTCATCATTGATGTTTCTATCTCTCTTTACCCCTCCCTTCCTCTCTAAAAAGTCAAATTATCTTATTTTTCATCTTGGAAAAAAGGTTTGAAGGAATTATCAGTTAATTTACCTGCCTGATTTTTAGAGGTGCTTTTAGAGGTTTCATAGAACAGAATCATATCTGAAGAAACTATCAGAAACACTTTAGGTTGGGCACTCACCGGTACTCCTTGGTGTACTCAAAGTCTTGTTTGTTGTAGGCAGGTTTTAAGAAATTGCACTCAATGACTCCAATTACTCCCACACCTTCTCCATGAGTTGGCTTAGGAAAAAATATTAATTTCAACACTCACATTACTATTGACTGCCTGGAGGCATTTTCTTTTGATTCCAAACAATAGAAAGGTTATATAACCTTTATGGGCAAGGTAAGGCCAACAAGATCTACAGAAACACTCAAAATATATTCCAATAGACTGCAAACATTACATTGAAGTGCAACCTCTGGCAAATTCTAGGACAAGATTTTCAAACTATGATCTGTAGATATAGGATTTTCCAAGGATTAATAGCCATCTCTACTTCCCCACACTACCTCTGTTTTCATCTGTTTTATATTCTGAAATTGCCATAAGATTTCATTTGAACAAAAAATGACACTGCTAAAAAAAAAATCAAACTTATATACTACTGTTCTAGGGAACAGAAACCAAACTTCATCTGAAAAAAATTTAAGGACGCCATGTAATCATCACGCTCTATTAAAATAAATAGTTATCAATGACTAACATGAGTCAGACTTGCAGTGTTATTAATTACAAGTTGATACAAGATATTTTTGGATTAAAAATCTTTTTTTTTTCTTTAATGGAAGGAATTGAGTCAAGGTGTAGTTAGACAAGCCCACAAAAGATGATATAACAAAGAAAATCAACATAGGCTGAAAACGATCTATGCTGGGTCTAATAAAGTTTGTCCTACTGTGAAATATAAAGCAATTTGTCATTCTTTGTACTTTAGTAATCTTATCTGTAAAATAGAAATGAATGGAATACTTGTGGGTATTTCTACTTTAAATTGTCATTAAAACATTAAAGATGATGGTAATATTTGTATAGCTCGGTTTATAAAGTATTTTCACATAATTTATCCCAATTAAATCTCTCAACCTTGTAAGCTATAAGGTAGGCAGAGCAGGTAAAATTATTATTATGGTTCCCATTCTACAGGTAAGAAATTGAGCCTCAGATAAATTAAGCAATTAGGTTGCATAGCTTGTAAGTAGAAAAGCCAGGACTCAAATCCTGGCCATCAACCACTAAATGTTATGCATTTTCCACTATGCCTTATCATCTTCCTAAGAATATATAAAAAGCTACCTTCAACACTAATAGACTTATACACACGGCAGAGTTCTGGTATTCTCATTCTATTTCTTATTAACATTTACCTAGAAAATGTATTCAGCAAATTTTCCATGTTGATTAATATCTATGAGGAATGAGAAGTAGAATTTTTTTAACACAAGATGGCTCACTGGTAACACTGAATTCCAGAATAATATTTAATAAACATCATAAGATGGGAGTAAAAGCCATTAACAACTTAACCCCCTTTGCAAAGTTTAAATCCTCTTCCCACTTTTTTCAGTCTTCTGTGAAAAAAAAAACAAACAAACAAACAAAAAAAAAAACATTAATCACTCACCTTCACCTGGCATCCCACCTTCTCAAAGGGCTTTATGAGTCGGTTGTTGTGATACATCATTATTCCAAACTGGTTATTATTCTTGCAAGAGAACCCAAAAGTTATTTTCACCTGCTTATTCTGAGAAGAAAAGCATTAAGGAGACAAACACCAGGAACTTTGGCAGAAAAAAAGCTTGCATTCTATTACAGCAAAGAACATTGAATATAAATTGGTACATTTATAGAGGGCATTTTAGAAACCTGTAGTAGTAGCTTTACAAATATTCTTAACCTTTGACCAAGTAGTTCTCTTTCTAGGAATCCTACAGAAAAGTCAAGGAAGCCAATAAAGGTTTATGTTACGGAGATTTATCAATTAGTTATAATGGCAAAAAAAACAAACACCCATAACTAATTTAAATGTTTGACATTAAGAGAATGATTAGATAAATGTTGGTTTATCGACATGGTCTATTATGTAGCTTTAAAATTATGTCCTTGAAAAATATTTTGTAATATTAGGAAATGTTCAGAATATAATAACAAGCATTACCTAAAAATAGTTATGGCATTACCAAAATGCCATCAGTGATTTAAAAAATTATAAATAATCAAAATGCTTCTTAACCTTTGCTAGTTGTCTATTATCTGCTAGTTCTCCCAGGTTCTCATAAGAGTTGTAAATAGTACAACACAAATCTACACAATTAAAAGCAAGAATGTAAGTCCTGCTAATCATGTGAAACAATGACAACAAAAGCATGAAGAAACAAATAACTTTTAAACGTAAAGGATAATCCTGTTGTAACAGATATCATGGGACGAAGTTAACAAGCTTGGATAGATGAAATAAAGAGAACTAATTATATATAAAAATGAACAATGATGAGTTTTTAACAAGTCTGATTTGATTTAAAAAGAAAGGTAAGAGAGTGAAAAAATAAAGGGGAGAAAAAGTAACTGAGATTTTCATTAAAACAAATACTAATAAGAAATCTAAATATTTAAATTAGTTAAATAAAAATTTATTTTTGTTACTTATTATTTTTAATTTAAATTCTGTATTGTTTAAAGTATTACGTATGTCTCCTTTTCCCCCCATTGACCTATCCCCGCTCCCAGCCCCCAGCACATGCCCTTATTCCTTACTGTCTGTGTCCATTGGTTACGCTTATACTAGTATGCATGCATACAAGTCCTTCGGTTGATCTCTTACCTCCCCATCCCACCCTCCCCTACCTTCCCTCTGAGGTTTGGAAGTCTGTTCAATGCTTATATGTCCCTGGATCTATTTTTGTTCATCAGTTTATGTTGTTCATTATATTCCAGAAATCAGTAAGATCAGGTGACATTTATCTTTCTCCGAATGGCTTATTTCACTTAGCATAATGCTCTCCAGGTCCATCCATGCTGTTGCAAATGGTAAGAGTTCTTTCTTTTTTACAGCAGCATAGTATTCCATTGTGTAACTGTTTCAGTTTTTTAATCCACTCATCTGCTGATAGGCACTTAGGCTGTTTCCAAATCTTAGCTATTGTAAATTGTGCTGCTATGAACATAGGGGTCCATATATCCTTTTTGATTGGTGTTTCTAGTTTCTTGGGATATATTCCTAGAAGAGGAATTATTGGGTCAAATGAGAGTTCCATTTTTAATTTTTTGAGGAAACACCATACTGTTCTCCACAGTGGCTACACAGTTCTGCATTCCCATCAGCAGCACGCGAGGGTTCCTTTTTCTCCACATCCTCGCCAGCACTTGTCAGTTTGTTGATTTGTTGATAGCCATTCTAACAGGTGAGAGGTGGTACCTAATTGTCATTTTGATTTGCATCTCTCGGATGATTAGTGACTCTTAGCATGTTTTCATATGTCTCTTAGCCTTCTGTATCTCCACTTTCAAAAGTGTCTATTTAGATCCTTTGCCCATTTTTTTGATTGGCTTGTTTATCTTCCTTTTGTTAAGTTGTATGAATTCCCTATAAATTCTGGAGATTAAACCCTTATCGGTTATAACATTGGCAAATATGTTCTCCCATGCAGTGGGCTTTCTTGTTGTTTTGTTAATGGTTTCTTTTGCTGTGCAGAAGCTTTTTATTTTGTTGTAGTCCCATTTGTTTATTTTCTCCTTAGTTTCCATTGTCCTAGGAGCTGTATTGGTAAAGATATTGCTAGGATATATGTCAGGTATTTTGCTGCCTAAGAATTCTTCTAATATTTTTATGGTTTACCATCTGATGTTTAAGTCCTTTATCCATTTTGAGTTTATATTTGTGTATGGTGTAAGTTGGTGGTCTAGTTTCATTTTTTGGCATGTATCTGTCCAATTTTCATAACACAATTTATTAAAGAGACTGTCTTCATTCCATTGTATGGAGGGATCATAATATATGCCTTCTTTTTTTAATATATATATTTATTGATCTCAGAGAGGAAAGAGAGAGATAGAAACATTAATGATGAGAGAGAATCACTGATTGGCTACCTCCTGCACATATCTGATATGCAGGATGTATTTTCATCCCCTAATTGGGATTGAGCCACAACCCAGGCATGTGCCCTTGACTGGAATCGAACTCATGACCCTTCAGTCCACAGGCCAATGCTCTAGCCCCTGAGCCAAACCAGCTAGGGCTGCTCTTGCCTTCTTTGTCAAATATTAATTGAGCATAATGGCTTGGATGAATTTCTGGGTTCTCTGTTCTGTTCCATTGGTCTATATGTCTGTTCCTGTGTCAGTACCAGGCAGTTTTGAGAACAGTGGCTTTGTAATTTAGCTTGATATCTGGTATTATGATCCCTCCAACTTTGTTCTTCTTTCACAGGATTGCTGCAGCTATTTGGGTCATTTTTTATTCCATATGAGTTTTTGAGAGTTTGTTCTAGGTCTGTGAAATGTGCCATTAGAATTTTAATGGGGATTGCCTTGAATGTATAGATTACTTTGGGTCGTATGGACATTTTAATAATGTTGAGTCTACCAATCCATGAACACAATATATCCTTTCACTTGTTTATGTTTTCCTTTATTTCTTTTTTCAACATCCTATAATTTTCCGAGTACAGGTCTTTTACCTCCTTAGTTAAGTTTATTCCTAGGTATCTCAATTTTTTTTGCAATAATAAATGAGATGTTTTTACTAGTTTCTCTTTCTGTGAGCTCATTATTGGTGTATAAAAAAAAAAGCCATAGATTTCTGGGTGTTAATTTTGTGTCCTGCTACATTTCCAAATTCATTTATTAAGTCTAGTAGTTTTTTGATGGATTCTTTAGGGTTTTCTATGTACAACACCATGTCATCTGGGAATAATGGCAGTTTTACCTCTTCTTTTCCAATTTGGATGCTTTTTATTTCTTCTTGTCTGATCGCTATGGCTAGCACTTCCAGTACTATGTCGAACAAGAGTGGTGAAAGTAGGTATCCTTGTCTTATTCCTGTTCTTAGGGGAAATGGTTTTAGTTTTTGCCCATTGAGTATGATGTTGGCTGTAGGTTTGTCATTTAAGGTTTTTATTATTTTGAGGTATCATACCTCTATTCCCACTTTGCTGAGAATTTTTATTAAGAAAGGCTGTTGGATTTTGTCAAATTCTTTGTCTGCATCAATTGATATGATTATGTGATTTTTGTCTCTCTTTATGTGATGTATCACGTTTATTGAGTTGCGGATATTGTAACATCCTTGCATCCCCAGAATAAATCCCACTTGGTCATGGTGTAAGATATTTCTAGTGTAATGCTGGATCCAATTTGCTAGAATTTTGTTGAGGATTTTAGCATCTATGTTCATCAGGGATATTGGCCTCTAGTTCTCTTTCTTTGTAGGGTCTTTATCTGGTTTGGGGATTAGGGTAATGCTGGCTTCAAAGAAAGAGCTTGGTGTTCCTTCCTCTTGAATTTTTTGAAATAGTCTGAGGAGGGTAGGTTTTAGTTCTTTGAATGTTTGTTAAAACTCCCCGGTGAAGCCATCGGTCCAGGGCTTTTGTTTGCTAGAAGTTTTTTTTTTCTTTCTTTAATTACTGCTGCAATTTCATTGGTAGTTATCAGCCTATTCAGATTTTTTATTCTTCCTGATTGAGTTCTGAAAGCTTGTATTTTTCTAGGAATATGTCCATTTTGTCAAGGATGCCCAGTTTGTTGGAGTAGAGTTGTTTGTAGTAATTTTTTGAAATCCTTTGTATGTCCATGGGGTTAGTTGTTACTTCACCTCTTTCATTTCTGATTTTGTTTATTTGGGTCTTCTCTCATTGTTTCTTGGTGAGCCTGGCTAGAGGTTCATCAGTCTTGTTTATCCTTTCAAAGAACCAGCTCTTGGTTTCATTTATCTTTTTTTTTTTTTTGGTCTCTATGTCATTTATTTCTGCTCTGATCTTTGTTATGTACTTCCTTCCACTTACTCTGGGCTTTTCTTGTTGCTCTCTTTCTAATTCTTTAAGTTGTAGGGTTAGATAATTTATTACCAGCTTTTCTTGTTGTTTTTTTGTGTTTTTTTTTTTTGAGGTAGCCTGTAGAGCAGTGGTTCTCAACCTTCCTAATGCCATGACCCTTTAATACAGTTCCTCATGTTGTGGTGACCCCCAACCATAAAATTATTTTCGTTGCTACTTCATAACTGTAATTTTGCTACTGTTATCAATCATAATGTAAATATCTGATATGCAGGATGTGTTTTCATTGTTACAAACTGAACATAATTAAAGCACAGTGATTAATCACAAAAACAATATGTAATTATATATGTGTTTTCTGATGGTCTTAGGCGTCCCCTGTGAAAGGGTCGTTTGACCCCCAAAGGGGTCACGACCCACAGGTTGAGAACCGCTGCTGTAGAGCTATGAACTTTCCTCTCAGGACTGCTTTCACTGTGTTCCATAGATTTGGAATGTTGTGTTTTCATTGTCATTTGTTTCCAGGATGTTTTTAATTTTTTCTTTGATCTCTTTGTTAACCCAATCATCCTATATAATAAAAGCCTAATATGCTAAGTGTCCAGTTGGCCATTCAACCAATCAAAGCATAATATGCTAATGATATGCTAAGGCTGCTCAACTGCTCTCAATGCAGGATCTGCCCTCTGGTGGTAAGTGCACTCCCACAGGGGGAGCGCTGCTCAACCAGAAGCCCTGAGCCAGGCTCACA